GGTTAAGTTTGACAAATAGATATAAATAAAACCCTTTTAGTATGAAAAAATAATAAAATAAGTAGGTATATTGCGTAATGAAAACTGTTCTAAATACCGTTATGAAAATGATATTGCATTTTCATAACGGTATTAAGATTTAGTCATAAATCGGATACAACTGCTATCGAAGGAAATAATATCATACTTTAAGTAAGGTATAAACAAAATCCTGAAAGGGCCATACATTGCCACCATAACTAGCCCATAAAATATACCTACCAAACTCCTGGCTATTGTGTATCACTCGATTCCATCAAGCTATTGTGAAGCCTGCATTATTATTTACCTTTTCTATGCTTAACGATCCGTCCAATACTGTCCAGTTTAATTCAGCGGCTCAGCCTTGTGACAGCTGAAAAGATCCATTTTACGAGGCAGAATAGCCGATCGATCAAAGGCCTAACGAATAAATGGTAGTCTATCAATTTTCTCCACTCACAGATGTTCAAATACCAACCAATCTAGATTTAGATTCGAATAAGTGGTCTAGAAATAATTTTATTCAAACCGATTAAATAAATTAACGTAAATTGCTTCATAATTATGCTTTTATAGATATTTTAACAGATACCTACCTACGTAGAAGCGAATTAATTTTTTTTTTGCGAATTGACAAATTGGTGAATTTTATGGAATTTATTTTATCGTCGGTTTTGTAATTTATTTTATTTTGCTTTTAAAACATTTATTAATCCATTTTTGAATTTTTAGCTAGGGTTGCTACTTTACAAAAATAAAAATTTTGAACTTGTTAAGTCTGTCAAATAATTATATTCATTACTGGACTTGTAGAAAAACGTTTTAACTGCCGAAATTCGAGTTCCCATGAGTTCACGGACCGTATCGTAAGCAAAAGACGTTGCCGAAGACGCGAGGAGCATCAGACCGTGGCCATATGGTTCACACGATCGTATGTGAACCTGTAACGCACTGCCATATTAAAAAGGGCGTAAGTCAAATACCGAAAACCAAAATTATATGAATATGATATTACTTCAACTGACTATTTAACTAAAAATTATAAAGACACTGCATTTAATTAATTTTCAATTCTAGCTTGAAGTGCTTAAGTGTCATTTTCCAAATTAATGATTCAAGTATTTACGCTCTTTTGATTTTAATCTTTTGCGTCAGGACACTATTCGAGTCTTTTGTTTCGGATTCACGTATGATTTTATTACGATATTTTTATCTTAAATCTTATTAATTGTTGTGTTATTTACACAGAATCTTGTTATTCGACGATTAAGGTAATAAAGTTTGAGTATTAATTTTTATGAAAAAGATAAACTCAGAATAATTTTTCAAGACAGCTCGCAGTTTCCCAAAATTCAAAATTTAAAACTTAGTTTAGGCTTCGTAAAATATATGATAATTGTGTCAATCCTAATATATTTACATTATTGCAATACGTTTCAATTACAAAGTTTTTATTATCATCAAAAATTATTCTATGTTAAAAGAAATAAGTCGAGTCGTCGCAAATGCGACTGCCAAGACTGGCAAGGGGTCTCGGGGATTCGATTGACGAGTGGGGCAAAGTATTACTGGGTTTTTAAAATATTTTCAGAAGTAGCACGGAGTCTGGAAATATGGTATATGGCAATAGGCTCACCCCCTATTACATGGGACTCATAACATAAATATTGAAAAGTGGGTGTTACTTGTGAGTGCACCTCTGCCTACACCTTCTGGTATAAAAAGGTGTGATGTTATGCAAAATATATAAATGAGCGAAAAACATGTCAATGCAAAAATCAAACCTTCGACTTAAATTTCACGAAATGACCAGAACAATAAAACAAATCAAAGAAAGTGAATCAGTCGGAATAATATACCGGATTGCCTTTAATGATTTCAGCATTGTTTCATATCGTCGATACATCAATGTATGCGTCACACTTGATGAGTATAGGAGTTCCCACGTTGACCTGCAATTTATTGGCCCTTACTTAACAGTAACTACCTGTGACCGCAGGTGCGTCTTAAGGAATAAGGGATGTAGAGCATGGCGACTGTTTTTTTTTTTATTTCTTTTTTTTGTTTTTTTTTCTTACGACGTATGTCTTTGGTGATTTGGTTTTAGATAGTGTCTTATATTGGATATAGGTATCGTTGATTTGGTTTGGCGGAATAAAATCTTTGGGTATTGTAGTCTTCGCTTATCGTTTTTTTTTTCGGTAGAAAAATATAGTTCGTTCGGTAATCAAATTAATTCAGTTAAATAAATAAATAAAGAATAACCATTTTTGGTAAAGTAAATTAAGTACAAACACAGCGTGATGTTGTGCGCACACGCAGCTCTTGCTTAAGACTCCGCCGTGCCTCGAAATTAGTCGAGTATTTTAAATAAGTTTACCTAAAGCAATAATATTAGATAATATAGTTGAATAAATTAGAAAATAAATTCTTATTTCAAAATGTAGTTCGGGGCAGCCCTGTGCTCACTGACCGTAGACATTTGTGTGATTTTCTTAAGTCGTGTACACATGAGGTCATAGTTAAATAAGTAAAAACTTAAGGTGGGGCGTTATGGGAACTGAACACGGTAACTCCACAGTATAATGTGTGGCTTTACCAAACCATAGTATAGCACTTAGGTGTATTATCATCATTTAGAACTTTACTTAATTATCTTGTATGGAGAACGAAGAATATTTTCTTGTAATTATAATTGAATGTTGGCTGTGAGAATGTATTAGATTTTACGTTTTGTTGTTTTCATACTTTGTTATTGATTGATACCTACTGATAGAAGTGTTTTTTTAAGCGGGGAAAATCATTGAATGTCTGCTTTCGCCTGGGTGAGGCGGGAGCTGTCAGACTCTTACTGACTAAAAACCACCCCGGTCCTACTCCTGCACTTCGAGCCGGAGTCCCGGTAACCAGTTAGGTTCTCCGCAACTGATAGAAGTGTTAAGTTTAAGAAAATATTCTTAATGTCAAAGTCATTTAATTGTAGTTTCGAATGAAGAAGAACAAGCAAGAAACTCCATCGTGACTGTTTAAAAGAAAACATACATATGTTTTGTTATGAAGAGTTTGTAGAAGCCTTATCTTAGTAAATCCCTATTTCTTTGGTCATGTCATCACTAGTTAACTGGTCTATTGATAGATTTCGGATTTTTTAGTAGAGTATTTTATTGTCTGGTTCTCATAAAAGAAAAAATTGGAAATATGATGGAAAATGGACCGGATTTAAAGGAAAGTTTCAACTTTTCTATATATTTCACTCGTGTAACAAAACGAGTCTTCTCCGTTCCATAAACACGGAACTTAACACTGCCCTACCATACCTACATCGCATGCAACATAAAGACGGTGCAATTAAATGCATCTTCGAGATAAAACGCAATGAAAAGGATACGTTCATGTGAATTATCGTTATAAAAACTATAATTGACATCATTGTTCCCTGTTCAAGGATAAAATGATGTTTTTTTTTTATTAGTATTTCGCAAATGTTTCTCAATCGATGTTAGTTTTCCGTTGTTAGTATATGCTGTGATTTTTATTATGTATTGTTTATGTTTTAATAGATTTTAAATGTCATGTCGTTAGACGTGAATCGATTTTTTTAACTAGAAGTTTTTTTACGTAGGTAATTAAATCTCTCTATTTATAAGTATTTTGATAATTTTAGACACTGACCAGTCTTTAGTCTTTAGTCAAATATTTTCCATAATATATGTTATTTATTCATTAGTGATTATTCTTTTTTTCATTACAAACTTATATAACCTTTATAATAACCAAAAAATGGTTAAAACTTATCCAATTCATAAAAATATGAAAAACAATACCTTTGACGTCAATGTACACAAAAAATATGCGTTTTTAATTCTAATTAATGACTTTATTGTTAACAAAATACAAATTTTGATAACAGTCTCATAAATATCATTTATATGGCATTAAAATATTAATATTTAATATGTTGCAAAATATTATTTTGTGTTCGGAAATAAATGATATAGTAACTTTCAGTTGGTAAATATTTATTTTATGTAAAATTGTAACCGGTTCTAACTTAGAGATAACATGATCAAGTATGAAATAATATTAAATAAAAATCAGAAAAATATGGTCATTGCACAATTACATATAATTATTTCCACCCACAATCCCACATTCCTCTCAACAAAACCATTACTCCGGTAATCAATTTTGAACTGTACTTTCAAGCCATAATGATCGAAATCAATAAAGCCTTACGACAATATCCTTGGCAAAAACGCTTAAAAAAATGGTATGATTTTTCACGGAATGAATCAACGCAACCTACGACCTATTCCCACGGGTATGGTCCGGTGGGCATGACTTCTACGGACCGACGCACATGCATAGAATGGAGCTGTGTGTGAACTATATAATATGAGACCAAAACAAAGGATGGGGCTTACTGATCTGAGTGTAATATTTGTATCTTTGAAGTTTGAGTCGTTTGAAGAATAAAAAAGTTTAAGTAAATCGCAGACTTGATGAACATGATGATTTAAAAATGTATTGTTTTTTCTTTTTGTTTAATTGCCGCACACTAGGATTTTCTCCTGTGTCGTGGGTGGTTTTACAAACACACAAGCTCACGTAAACATGACACCCAGACCCGAAACAACAATTTGTGGATCACATTAAGTGTTGTTCCGTGCGGGAATCGAACCCTCGGCACGGTGAACGGCGGCCGGTTGCCCGTGTAGAGTCCATGAGAGTAAAATACTAAGAGCTAAATATAAGGACAAATAGAAGAAAACATTAAGTGTCCCTTTTTTAATATTCCTACACACTACGCATCCAAACCCAAAACAATCATACGCAGATTACACAAAGAATATCTGTTCTATAAGCTGTTCGATATCGAAAATCGCAACATATTGCGCAGTTACCTGTCATTCAGACACTGCGCAACCAATGAGTTTTTTCTAAATTATGGACATTAGATAGAATTTTGATAATCGTACCTTTATATGCGTCATTCGATGGTAGTACAGGTTGGAGCTGGCTGTAAACCTCTTCCCACAATGCTGGCATTGATGAGGTTTCTCCCCTGAATGGATTCTTCTGTGGGTGTTTAAACTGCTCGACGTACTGAAGCCTTTGTTGCATACCATACATACGTGCGGTTTTTCACCTGAAAGCAGAATATTTTTCAGATGACTTGTTAACTTTGAATATTTGGTGGTGTACAATTTTGAGATATTTTTAAGTGGGAAAAATCATCGAATGAGTACTCCCGCCTGGGTGAGGCGGGAGGGAGTGTCAGACTCTTACTGACTAAAAACCACCCCGTTCCTTCTCCTGCGCTTCGAGCCGGAGCCCCGGTAACCCGTTAGGTTCTAATTTTGAAATTTATGTGTCAATGTTGACAGTTGTCATATTATTAATGAGTTTAGATAAAAATATATGATCTACTTTCAAAATATTGGCTGAATATATCATAAGAAGCTCACAAAAATGCATTTCTAATGTGTCCGATGTTTCACATATAGTTTATGACGCCCAGAAATTTAATTAGAACTTTGAAATTAAATGCTGATTTATAAATACTACGTGATCTAGAATAATAATTGATTTATGTCTTTAACTGACTGGCTGGCTTTAAAAGTGGAATCTGCAAATAATATTTGAAGTTTCCTTAGCGTTATAAATAAAATATAAAAGTAATAAATGTCTATAAAATCTAAATTCTTTATGTAATCAAAAATGACATGCCAGTAAATTATATTACAGTAGTCAATTTCTTCGTTAAAATTTATTTACGATGAACGTATATAGATTTGATTATTTTAATTAAGAATCGCCAAAAGTTATTGATTGAATTAATTAATAATTTATTTGTGTTATTAACTAGAATTTGTTTCCAGGTTCCATTAGTAGAGCAAATAAATATGTCACTTACTGTGGGAAACTACGTCATGACAAATTTCATGAAAATATGTAGCTTAATTAATTAAGATTAAGACCAAAATTAAATATCATATACAATGTTTAATATCGTATATAATGTAATATGTTCTAAACAATTACAATACATAATTTACCTATTTCATAACATAAATTTACTACGTATCAAAAGTATAAGAAATAAGTACGTAGCTCACCTAACCCAAGGCGGGAGAAGTCATTGGATAATTTTTCCCCCTCAAAATAAAGTGGAGCTCAATATTTTGTGAACGTAAAATGATTGTACTTTATTTTAAAACTATCTTCTGCCCGCGACTTTGTACGCGCAATCGCGTTTCTCCCATTCCCGTAGGATTTTCAGGACTTTTTTCTGTCATAAGAACCTTTTCCTGACGATAACACAAAATCAGCCAAATCGGTCTAGCCATTCTCAAGTTATGGCGTGACAACGGGAAAAGGGTTTCATTTTTATATATAACTAGCGGACCCGACAGACGTTGTCCTGTATATCCACTTGAATGAATAAACCAAAATTCATTCAAATTAGTTCAGCCTTTCAGGATAAATAACCTAGATATATACCGACTGCAGCGCCATCTGCCGGGATGATTTGTGAATCTAAACCATCCAGGGCGCCACTTAAACGCGTACAGAAAAAATCATTTAAATCAGTCAAGCCGTTTAGGAGGAGTTCAATGACATACACACGTACAGCAGAATTATATATATAAATATATAGATTTTGAAAGCTTAACGTATCAAAAGACTTCTGTCTCTATTAAAGCTCTTGATTCCTGATTGAGTAACATTGAAAGGGTGTAAAAGCAGACCATCAAGTTTTAGTAATAAATTGTTTTAAGAGTTTCTTACCAGTATGTGTTCTCATATGACGTTTCAACAGCGATGGTCTATCGAAGGCTTTCCCACAAACTTCACAGGGTAGTAACGCCCTTTCAGACTTGGCTGGTCTTCTTTGGATTTTAGGAGTCATATCCAGGAGTTCGTTTGATGAACCGGCTGATGATGACGTGAGGGAATCTCCTGATACGGATTTGTGTTCATCTTCTGCACCAGAAGGAGGGGATATTGGAAGTAGAACCCTGGAGAGGAGTGATGTCGATAGGTCTAGTGGTGAATCTGAGGAAGAAAAATTGAGTTGAGTGATGATAATACAAAAAGATAAGATCTTTAAAAAGCCGATAACATATTAATTGTCAGCTTTAACGTAACACAATAATATGTTCTTTTAATTAAACAACGTAAAGCGCACTGCACCGACATGTCAACAAAAACGTTATCTCGTACAATTTAAAACAAATTGACTGAAATATTTGGGTCAATCAAATTTTATTGATCTCCAAATAAGGATTTAACGAGAGCAAACCTATTTGTTTCATTGATCTCTAATCAATCTGTCAAATCATTAGCCTGACATAAAAATATATCAGAAACACATTCTCAACAACTCCCATTAGTTGAATAAAATACTATTCCAACTATACAGACAGACAAGACCGCCGTTTTATTTATAGTGCTATATTTTTCTCACGAAGGGTGATGACATTAAACAGGTTGAAAAGCCAACAATCAATTTTATAGATATCACTCAATCAGGCTTCATTATCAGATATTAAAATATATTTTTATGCTAACAAGCAACAAATCTTCTAAACATAGCTTCCTAAGACACCTCACGTCATAATTTATAAATTCTCCACCATCAACACACAACATTATAATTATCATTCTTCAAAATTGAATATTTTCACTTTATTGATATTAGTTTCTCGAAATACTACTATCAAAAAATCCGAACGAATTTTACGGTGATTAGGCGATCAGTGAGCGCTTTTTATAAATCAGATCAAAAAATGTTTTTATACAATTCCAATCAAGCAAAAATGTTTAATGAACCGATTTTATTGACAACCGTAAATTTCGCTATGGATCTTTGGACAGTTTATGTTTATTGAGACCCGTCTCTAAATTTCTTTGATACGATTTAATTGGCGTCCCCAATTCCGACTTTTACTATTGAAGGCTGATCTTCACTTGTTCACATTGAAGTTTCCGCGGAATTATAATGGAATGGATTGCAATAAATCTCATATAGTGACGTCGAATGGCATGGATTAATTAGCGGCCTGTTTGTGCTCTAGATCGAGGATAGGTAGTTTCTTTATCCGTTGTAAGGGTAGGTGTATTTCAAGATGAGAGGATAGAAAATTCTAGATATGGAGAGGCGACCGGACAGATGGGGGGACGATAATATCTCTCGCTGGTCGACTGTCCACGCTTCGTTTTGCCTACTTTATTTGCGTAGTGATGTACGGCCTTATAGGATTTTAATTTATTTATTCAATTACGTGGGCTCCGATAGAATATTGCTTTTTTTGTTTACGATAAGGTGTGAATATAAAACGAAGTTTATGAACGAAGTTTTGCCTGATAAGTTAGTAGGCTGTGCGATAAATACTGAAATAAAATTTAATACTGAGCATAGAAATACTATTTTCTTTACATATATAGTAGTAAAAAATATCTATATTTTATCGATTAAGTGTTTCAAAAACTTTAGTTATTTCTTATTGTTATACGTTTTAGTTATTTCTCAAAAGCTACATAAATCAATCTCAAAAATCTTTTTCTATCTAGACCAGGCTTTTTAAAATCACAAAAATCAATATATTCAAATCCCAAACGCATTTCTATTTAGATCAGAATTCATAATACGGTTTATGCGATGCGATCAATAAACACACAAACGATGCCGCCGTTATCAAACTATATGTAACTTAACTGGTCTTAGGCCGTGGTCACACTGAGAATAATCATGAAAATATCTGTGGTCTGTCGGTGCGTGTGTACTTTCCTAATAATTACTAGGATAATCATTTAAGCATGACTACATAAGTGGATTAACATGGAATTGAAAATTAAAGAGACTGTTAGTAAAGTTTTGATATAAAGTTCAAACTAAATTAGGTAAGTTAAAGATCTTTCTTTACCTTAGTATTATCATTATCTTAACATTATCTTTCAGTAGCTGGTAATCGGTAAATGGTGTTATGATGTATTTTAGGACTAGCTTAGAAGTAACTAATTTTAAAATAACCTGTAAGTATTTTTTAACTTTGAGTGTTAAACTAATTAAGAGTGCTTTCTTTTATTAGGTATAAAGTCATACAATAAAATATTTGACTGTACAATTCACATATTCAATCTACATACAACTTTTGGGCCAACACACAAACATTGGCCCAACATCCCAATTTCCTCAAACCACATAAATTTATTGGACGAAAACAACTTATTTCTGCACAATGTATACAGCTTTGGTATAAAAAAGCTATCTGGAGTGCCGACTACCGAACCGCGACGCGATCCAAGTAGGAATTCTCTTTGATGCGCCCGCGCCGACTATATCGCGACTGTCGCGATATTGCGTTCGTGTGTGTGTATGTGTGTGTTTTATGGAACGGTTTTTAAAATTATTTCGGCGATATTTTCTGTGTTCTTTTGTGATTTATTATTATGATTATTTATTTTTTTTTCGTTTATTATATAAATTATTTGTTTGTATTATCTTTTTATGTCTACGCATATTTTTAAAATTTGTGAATGGAACACACATTGGAAGCAGGCAGATTTACATAATTATATAGATTTTAATGCCTAATATAGTTGTATAAATTTAATATTCATAGTCAATAAAGCCTATAAAATTTAATGTGTGACAAATTCACTATAAAAATAAATACTATCACTACAAATTTTAATATCACTGCAATTAAGTGATATAACTAATCTGTGATATTTCAATTAGGTGATATTTAGAAGACATAACATAACATCACGCCCTTCAACCCCAAAGGGATAGGTGGAGGTGCACATATTTTGGCACTTAATACCACTGTACAATGTAACACCCCCTTTTCACTATTAAACTGTCAAACACCAAGCGGTCACCGGTGACCGCGACCTATTGTTCTTTAATTGTGTCTATAAAACCGGTACTCGACGAGTTAATGTTATGAGTCCCATGTAATTAAGGGTGAGTATATTGTCATATACCAGGCGCATTTCCAGACTCCGTGCTACTATCTACTGAAATATTTTTTTAAAACCCAGTAGTACTTTACCCGATCCGGGAATCGAACCCGAGACCCCTTGCCCAGCAGTCGCACTTGCGACCACTCGGCCAACGAGGCTGTAATTTTATAACATGTACTAAATAAAGGAGGAATCAAATAAGATTTGTCTATCAAGTCGCGTGTGAAAATACCCACTTAAGTTTCTTAGTAGTACTATTTTTTTAATTATTTCACTTTAGCGGGTTACTGTGAGATTGCTAATGGAATAGATATAAATAATATTATTTAGCATATTGATTTATTAGGTTGGTAGTTCGCACGGTCTTTGGAGCGACGACCTAAGTTTTGTTAAGTTTTTAGACATTAGTCTAGAGTACTAGATATACGAGTTTGGTGTATTAAACGTTTGTGAAAAAAGAAAGTTTGGGTTCAATTTTGCAGATGTTTAATAACTTTTAAGTGTAAGAGAGTCATGCTTCGGCACGAATGGGCCGGCTAATACCACGGCTTCATAGAAAACCGACGTGAAGCAACGCTTGCGTTGTGTTTCGTCGTGTGAGTGAGGTTACCGGAGGCCCAATTACACTCCGCTTCTCCAATTCCTGAATCCCCAACGATCCTCAAACTCCTAATCCCCTAAAGGCCGGTAACGCACTTGTAACGCCTCTGGTGTTCCAGGTGTCCATGGACGACACCGATTGCTTACCATCAGGTGATCCGTCTGCTCGTTTACCGGCTTATGCCATAACAAAACAAAAAAAACTTAAGATCCGTCCGTGCGTCACTGCAAGAGTGTCAACTGAAAACCAGTGTTGGGTACTTACTGTGCTCAGCTCATACTGAGTTGGCAAATCCTTTTTTCATGGGCATGTTGCCACCTTGTTGTACTTTTTATCTTTTTTTTATATTTTTTGTTGTTGTTTTATGTTTACGTATTTAGTACATCATGCCTGTAATGCATGCATGCCATGCAAATAAATTATTTTTCTTTGTTCTTTCTTTCTAAAACCCGGAAAGTGGAGTTATAAAAGTAGGATTTGTTAAATTACTACATAGTATAAAACAAAGTCGCTATCCGCCGTCTGTCTGTCCTTATGTATGCTTAGATCTTTAAAACTACGCAACGGATTCTGATGCGGTTTTTTTTTTATAGATAGAGTGATTCTTAAGAATGGTTGTTATGTATAATACATGCATATTGCACCCGTGCGAAGCCGGGCCGGCTCGCTAGTGCATTATATATTTTATTTCAGTAATAGAACTTTTTATATTTTAAATCGCACATTTTATCTAATTACTAACGGCGGTACTCACCGTAATGTAATGATTAATTAAACTAAATCATTAGTTACAATCTTGTTCTGATAACCATTAAAGACTACGTACGGCAGTAATAAAGGCGTCAAGTAAGGTTTTTTTTTTTAAATAGGTCAGTTTTAGGTACTCAATTCTCCATGATTTTACAGTCTTTGGAGAAAAATAAACCTCATTTTTTCCACCTCATGGCTACACTACATGACCAACAAGTTTGCTAAATCTGGGTACGTCCACTGCAACTTCGGACTTGGAACAAAATTGACTCCATAATCGTAAAATCTATATTAATAAATGCAGTAATTATATTTTACTGTTTATCGATTTGATAACGCATTTACGTCTTCATATTGGCCGTAAGGTTTTATGTGAATTTAATGCCGAACCATAATAATTATCAAGCGAGAAGATAGTAAGTACCGATATCAGTAAATGGTTAATCTAGTTAATGTAGTCGTTTGGTTTAATAAAGGAATAAAAAATTGAATGTGTCCTGTTATGCTACTGATAAGGAAAACGGTGAACTCTAGATGTGGCCTTGATGAGATGTATGTATATTTATAGTAATTTTATATAGTCGTATTATTTAAGGGAGCTACATCTGCCAACAAACTGTTTTGCAGTTTGGCAGAAGTAATATTGTATTTTTTCCAACTATGTTTCTTACCTTGAATAAACGCTTCATTCATTCATTCAAATTAGTTCAGCCGTTTAGGATAAATAACCTAAACATCGACTGCAGCGCCATCTGCTGGGCGGATTTGTGAATCTAAACCATTCCCAGATCCCCTTGAACACACACAAAAAATTTCATCAAAATCGGTCCAGTCGTCTGAGAGAATGTGTCCTGTTATTTATTTATTTATTTATTTATTTATTTATTTAACAACTTTGGAAGACTAACAGCTAACAAAACAAAAATTATGACATTGTGTGAGAGTCTGACAGCCAATGACAAGTCTTCACATATAAAAAACAAACTTATGCTATAAAAGAATGTGGTCGACACAGTACTCCCTACAAAATTATTATAATAATAAAAACAAATAATAACAAAATAAAAAGAAACAAAGTACTAAATCACTAATCTATACCAATAAACATCTGAACACTATACAGACAGATTACCTCGCATAATATTAGTTCAACCGCGTTCCCTATTATGTTACTTAATAAAAAAAAGAAAGGCTCAGGCACCTCCTGACCGTAGATACTTTAATATTAAAAAGGTCAAGATCATGCTGCTTGCACACGCTGTTAAATTCCTTAATTGCACGCACAAAATACGAGTTTTGCCTATAATTGGTAGAGGAGGATGGAACACGTAGCGGTGGAAACCATCTCCTCGACCTTCCAGGAACATTGAGAAACAATCTCGCTAGAATATCGGAACTGTCAATATTATTTGTTAAGATTTTAATTATTAGGGTGCAATCGCTTATTGCTCGGCGGTCCTTAAGCGGTAAGATGTGATATTTCTTACAGAGACTGTAGTAATCTTCAGACCGGTATGGGACACCCTGGTGATAGCACAGATACTTGATGAATTTCTTCTGGATATTTTCAATACGATCAATGTATTTGTGATAACACGGGTTCCACACTTCAGACGCATATTCCAAGTGACTTCTAACAAAAGTGCAGTATAGAATTTTTAAAGTTTTTGATTGAGTGAAGCACTTAGATAGACGCATAATGAAGCCCAATGACTTTGAAGCTTTAGCAACAATGGCATTAACATGAGCCTCAAAAGTGAGCTTAGTGTCATGATGAACCCCCAGATCTCGGATGATATCTGATCTAGGAAGTGTTTGATCTCCCAAGGTATATGATGCAACTATATTAGTGCGCTTTCGGGAATATGTCACCACCGAACATTTTGAGGGATTTAGATCCAGCCTACACTCACGACAGTAAGCTTCCAGTCGACACAGGTCAACCTGTAACGCAGCCACATCGGTCTGTGATTATTTTTGAAAAGATTTTCATATCATCGGCAAAACACAGTAACTTTGATGAGATCAGACACGAATCAATGTCATTTATATAGATGATAAAGAGTAATGGGCCTAGCAAAGAACCCTGCGGGACTCCACTGGGGACAGGTACCCAACCAGACATATAATTACTTAATACTACTGCTTGGGACCGGTTTCTCAGATACGAGGAAAACCATCTGAGTAGATCACCACGTATTCCCACACTATCCATCTTAGATAATAATATTTCATGTTGAATTCGATCAAAAGCTTTACTGTAGTCTGTATAAACGACATCGACCTGCCCACCCCTGTCCATAGCATCAGTAATGAAATCGTTAAGAAGAATTAAGTTAGTGACGGTGGACCTTCCCTTCAAAAAACCGTGTTGGAAAGAACTAAAGGAGTTATTGAGCGCACTATATACCTGATTGTAGATAATTCTTTCAAAGATTTTTGCTATGATACATAGTTTAGAAATTGGTCTGTAATTAATTATTTCAGTTATGCTACTGATAAGGAAAACGGTGAACTCTAGATGTGGCCTTGATGAGATGTATGTAAGTGTTTAAGTGTGGGAGAGCCATGCTTCGGCACGAATGGGCCGGCTCGACCGGAGTGATACCACGGCCTCGCAGAAGACTGTCGTGAAACAACGCTTGTGTTGTGTTTCGTCGTGTGACTATGGTTACCAGATCCCCAATTACTGTTATTCTGTTTTATCTCATGGGAGCGTTTAATCGGGATAAAAAATCTTGCCCTATCACTTAAATCAGCCAATCCCCTGTCTGTATAACAAATTATATCAAAATCTGTTCAGTAGTTGCAGCGCGATTGACGAACAAACATCCAAATAAAGAAACTTTCACATTTATAATATTAGCACAGTATAAAAAACTAATTAGTGTGCTGAGAAATATACACATACCCATTTATTTTTAAATTTAATAAATAAGTGTAAAATTTTTAACTGTTTTTATTTTCCAAAAATACATTTTATTGTGCATAGTTTAATAGTAACAATAGTATACCTAACTACTAATTTTGCTTTAAACTGTCAAGCACCGCGAGGACACCGGTGACCGCAACCTATTGTTCTTTAATTGTGTCTATAATGACGGTACTCAAAGGGTAAGATGTAAGATCCAACACAACATTTTAAAATACAACTACCTCCGCTCTTTGACTAGTCTTCCTTGTACCATACGCTTGATCTGTGAGAAAAAAAATGTATTAATTTTAGTATTTTTATATTCCGTGCGTCATAATAACTGTCTCGCCGTAATTTATGGTTCCCATAACATCATGTAGACAGATTCACACACCATTTTACTTTCAATTTCTTTTTGAATTAACCTCGTAAATGATCTTCTTATTAAGTCGAAAGAAAAAAGCTTTAGAATTGCATTTACGAAATTATTAATTAAATATGATAATATTATGTGAATTTGATAAGACTGTCTCGTTGGCCGAATGGTCTCGGTTTCGATTCCTGGGTCGGGCAAAGTACTACTGGGGTTAAAAAAATGTCAGTAGTAGCACGGAGTCTGGAATTGTGCCCGGTATATGGCAATAGGCTCACCCCCTATTACATGGGACTCATAAATAGTGAAAAGTGGGAGTTACATTGTAGTGGCATTATGTGCACCTCTGCCTAACCCTTCGAGGATAAAAGGCGTGATGATATGTATGCGAATTTGTAAAGGAGACTGGGACTTGTGGGCCCAATTGTAATAAGTTGAATTATGGCTTAAAAAAAAGGTATTTTTTTTCTATTTCATACTGTAAAAAATCAATTCAATTTACAATCTGGGAAATGAAAAATCCAATAATTATGTTAGGGTTACGAATTATCGATTCAATTGTAATCGATTAACGTTACAGAGTTCATACTATTTACGAAAATGCTTTCACCGGTTGATTTAATTAATTAAAATAATAAAATCTATTAGAATTAGAGTATTGAGGGTTAAAACTAATTAGTTATCTACATAATTAATATTAGACAATTCACATTGACTAATCGATTATTATATTTTTAATCTGTGCTAACTCGACATTCGTTTCGTATCGTCTGTGCGTGTGCGTTCTGAGTGTCATTTGTTTTCTTCCCGTTTTGTTTTTGTTTTTATTGATAATTATTATTCCTCGACCCGGCTTTCCTACGGACCTGTGATCTTCCTCCTTCTACGACCCCTGCCTTGCTACCATACTGGACACCGAGAACCCCGCTTAAACGTTGAACTTGGACTTGTTATTTTGGATTCTACGAACGGCCTACCAATAGGATATTGATCGACATCATGGATCGTTGTATAAATTGTTGTATAGCGACTAGTCGCTGCAATACACTAACAACAATCGCACTTTAAAAATGGGTTATTACCGTGTATATATTGTAATAACCTCACTTTTCTTAAATCTCTTATACCTCGGCTCTCAGATTGCCAAAATCTGCAAAATTTTCAGTGATTGTTTGCTTATATAGTAGCTATCAATTGACACTAATTTCATCTTTTTACATCTAGGCCCAAAATTGTATGAAAGGGTATCCGTCTCCTTTCTTATCAATAGTTTACGTGTTGAAAGATATTTTACACCATAGCTTTAAAAGGAAGGTTTTTGCGTGAATGCATTTCTAGACAAAACCAAAGTTTGGTTTTATTTAATTCTAGATTTTATACACCTATCTAATATATAAATGGATTAAATACTCATATAAATGTATAAATGGATTAAATACTTATATTATAGAGCCATATAAATATGTAATGTAAAGCTTTTTGTCAATAAAAATATATTTTATTTTATTTATTTCATTAACTCTGAATCAATAAAAGTATTAGTTGACATATCTGTGATAAAAGCCCCTAAAAACTTTGTAAGAATTTAAGAAGATTAGTTTTATTTAAGAATGTGAAATATTGAATATTTGATGACCCCACAGATATATTAAAATCTATAGATAAGACCAATATCACTAGGGTTTTCAAAATTACCTTCCAATATCGAGTCCATAGTTTGTCTGTAAAGGTTGTTCCTCATCTTCACGAAGAACATCTCCTCAGGTCTCTCAGGAAGGTAGTAGACCACCAGCTCTGTGTGCGCAGACACAGGCTTCACCGCTTCATATACCGGCTCACCCTTGACTTTTGTGCAGACTAGGTTTACCTGGTGACATCAGACTGGCATCAGTATTGTCAAGATCACTGCAATTTTACTTAGGTTGGTAGTAAAAGTTAGTAGGTAATTTCTGCGGTAAGTAGATACTTGAGTTTTGTTTTTTTTTATTATGGCATAAGCCGGTAAACGAGCAGACGGATCACCTGATGGTAAGCAATCGGCGTCGCCCATGGACAACTGGAACACCAGAGGCGATACAAGTGCGTTACCGGCCTGTTTGGATTATGAATTTAAGGACTGATGGGGATTCAGGGATTGGGGAAGGAGGGGGGAGGGATTATGAAGTTCAAAAATTTTTGTTGTACTCTTTCTATCTGGGTTATGTTATCTGTGTGGCTAATTTAAATAGCTAGCCTTTAAACAAATTATTACATAAGATAATGGTGGTGTTAATTGTGTTTTGTTTTGAAAAATAAATTACACAAATTTATTTGATCATTAATGATTCTAAATGATCATGTATTATGAAACTGATGTTTCATGCTTTAAATTAGATTGATTTTTTTATTAATGACAGTAGCAACAAAGCTTTCTGATCATTTGATTCTAAACCGGCCTCCGATTGCATAAAAATTAATTATTATGTAGAGGTATGTATAGTAATTGTAGCCGAAATTATTTGTATTGTATTATTGTTTATTCACTATGGCCAAGATGCCTGTGACATATAAATAAATAAATAATACGAATTATTATTAGCGCTCAATTCAGAGACTATTAATTGCAATGACAAGTATGGTAACTATAAAAAAAATAATAGTTGGTATTTGTTTAATAAATGATTATATGTATATGAATAGATAAATCAGACTACATTCTAAGGTCAATAATACTATTTCACTTACTTGTGGTCCATAGTTATCTGACACACGCAGAAATCGAACCCAATTACAGTGGCGGACTTGGACTCCACCAGAAGTACACACTTCGTCGAATAAACCGAATCTGTGCCGTATCTGTAGACAAAATGAAAAATTGCTGTTAATAAAAAATATTATAGTAAACTCAAATATTTATGTTTAATTTTTTTTAACCACTCAACCATTTAAAGTTTAAAAGATTAAAAAATCTTAAGTGAAGTTCAAGCATAGTCAAAAAAGTTTGCTATTAACACGAAATAATAATAATACGGTCTACTAAAATATTATTAACTAATCATTCATAACTTCAAAATAAAAATTGTACCCAAAACATACATTTAATAAACAAATTAAAACACATATTCCACCCACAAACAGTAACAAACAAGTGTAAAAACAAACACAATCTACCAGGCGATCATAAACAAAAAATAGTTGAACAAAACTACTGAATTAAACTTTCTTCGCATCTAGCCTGGATTTCAATTTAAGATAGCAGTCATCCATATCAGAACGCATTAGAAGTAAAATGTTCAGAGCGCAATACTCCTAACCACATTATCATAAAAGCGATGAAAATTGCCCGCACATTTCTCTAATCCTATATGTCAAAGATTAAAACTCGTTAGCGTAGATACGACAGTTAATCGGAAATTGTTAGAGATAATATTTTGTATTAAATATCTTCTTAGCTTCGACTGGGTTGGTGCGGTGGCTGGGCAGTTGGCTGCCGCGCAAAGTGTAGCGAGTTCCATTCCCGCATGGAGATACTCTTTGTGTAATCCACAAATTGTTGTTTCGGGTCTGTGTGTCATGTTTATGTGAACTTGTATGTTTGTAAACGCACACACTAGGTAGGAGAATAGTCATGTCCGGGGCAATGTTTTTCCAAAAACAAGACAGAAAGGACACGCCTTTATCCCCGAAGGGGTAGGCAGATATGCACATTATGTCACTGTACAATGTAACAACCACTTTTCACTATGTACGTTATGAGTCCTGTGTAATAGGGGGTGAGCCTATTGCCATACACCGGGCACATTTCCAAACTCCATGCTACCACTGAGAATTTTCAAAAAACCCAGTAATACTTTAACCGACCCGGGAATCGAACCCGAGACCCCTTGCCCGGCAGTCGAATTTGCGACCATTCAGCCAATGAGGCATTCACTCGGCCAATGAGGCAGTCGTTGTTGCGTCAGTGTTGTTAATAATGATGGCAATACATACATAACTCCACGCCTGTCTCCCATGGGGATAGGTAAAGTCAATGGAACATCAATTGCTACAATTCCTATGTAGGAATAGGAATCGTAGCAATAGGTGTTCTTTTACCTCTTTCTCTTCATCAATTGTCATCAATCTGTTCATGCATGCTCGTCGGTTAAGGGTGATTTAGCCCTTCTTTAATATATCGCCAATCTGGTCAGACAATGATGGCAATTTAAATATTTTGAATTTAAATCTACCTCTAGGTACATAATAAATGCTGTATCCTATCATCCCGTGCCTAGATAAACTACTAATTAATTCAGCCTTTACAATAACAATTCTGCAAATATTATCTAAAATCAGACAGCAAGACAGAGATAGGATCGTGCGCAAACTTTCACACTGTCATATCTGCTCTATTTGTTCTGTGTTTGCTTTCAACAAACCGCCAACGCTACGTTATGCGTAATGACGTGAAAATTACAACAAATATGAACGCCGGCGCATGCGCCGAGCCGCAAGATTCAATCCGCCATGTTGCAATTAACGGACTTGATACAGCCAATGAGATAAAGTACGACGGCTAGCTGCGCAAAATTAGTTAATTAAAGATGTATTTTGTGTGATTATGTGCGAAGACAGAAAAAATGAATCAATAAAAAAATTTAAACGAATTTTTGTATAGGTACTCATAATATGACATTACATAACATCACGCCTTTTATCCCCGAAGGGGTAGGCAGAGGTGCACATTACGATACTTAATGCCACTGTACAATGGAGCGCCCACTTTTCACTATTTGTATTATGAGTCCCATGTCCAATAGGAGGTGAGCCTATTGTACCGGTATATACCGGGCATAATTCCACGCCCTGTGCTACCACTGAGATTTTTTTTAAAACCCAGTAAGACTTTTCCTGACTCGGCAGTCGCACTTGCGACCACTCGGTCAACGAGGCAGTATAGGTACTCCTCCCTAGAATTATTTATTTAAGGCAGATGTAGATCTAATTTAACAGACATTTGCTAAAAATAAACATACCCAAATCGTGCAATCTAACTTGTGACAAATCTTATACTTACTATTATATAAAGCGGAAGAGTTTGTTTTTTTGTTTGTTTGTTTGAACACGCTAATCTCCGTAACGTCACGTTTGATTTGAATAATTGCCGTGGACAACTAATAGTTTAAAAAATTTCTTAGACCAGTCTCGTTAAAATCAATGACAACACTTAGATTTTAAAATATGTATAAAAAATTGATTAGTGTTGACATTTTTATTGGAAAATAAATAATTAATCGATTTATTATTCCTTTCCTAAACTGGGAATTGTATTAGGAAACCATAAAATCTTTATGATCCTTAGTGATTGCCCATCAGTTGTCTTAATTAGTATAAAACTAGAATCTAAAGTTGGAATACGATATAACATAATATATATTTTTTTTAAAAGACTTCACTAATGTACAAGGTTGGCTTAATGCCTAGGGCATTCTCCTCCTGCCAGACCTTTGGGTGATGCAAAGACAAAAACGATGGTCGATGCAAGAAGCAAACGTATTTAAGACTAAACAGAAATACATAAAAAAGGATAGTATAGATAGTGTTTGCAGAAAGGCTAGAAGGGCCTACAATAGATAGATTTATCAAGCTGCATGTCAGACGTGGAGCTTGATAATGCTTCTAATAATAATCTGTTCTGTATTTGTATTTGTGTATGTATTATTTTGTTATTGTATTTTTGTACTCGTGTGTTACTACTAACATAGTTTTTAAGTTTGTACTGTTTACTAACACTCTATGGGCCGTCGACGCCTGAAAATAAAAGATTTTTATTTTTATTTTTATTTATTTTATAGACTATATATTGAAGGGATTATTAGTAAAAATGTTAATCAATGAAATGATTTTACGAAACGATCGGTAATAGTGATATCCAATAAGTGATAAAGCAACTAAAAACTTTTAAATTATTAAGCTTTCGGTTTACTCGCGTAATAATTTGATAAGGAACTCGTCTAGACAGTATCGCGACAGTCGCCGCGTCGCAGGTCGTGAAATGCTGCTCATGAATATGAGCCTCTAGCATGGCTTGAAACTAGTCGAGTTCCTCGTCAAAATATTACGTGAGTAAGCCGAAAACATAATAATTTATTTAGTATGTCTTACGAAAGTTATAAAAACTTTTACTTATCTATTTGAATTCGGGTTTAAATACAGCATGAGTAATGCTGTATTAGGTAACAAATAAAAATAGACTCTATTACCACTGTCTAGAGCAAAAAATATCAACATATTAAACTCCGGATTACAGTTGAGAAACAAAACGTCAATCGCCCACTTTTTGCCTCAGATTCGGATAGTGGTCCCCATAAATCTGCGATCCCGTTATTTAGAATAAATTGCAACCGTCTGCAGTCCTTTGTGACGTCGGCTTTTTGTCCATGTGATGCACGCCTAACCACTGTGTATGGGAACCAAATAAATACAGGGTGAAATTTTGGCTACACTTTTACGATGTGACTCACTGGGCAGGTTGTCTTTAAATGGAAGTTAGACGGCCGTTATTGTTATAATATGAATTTAAACATAACATAACATCACGCCTTTTATTCCCGATGGGGTAGGCAGAGGTGCACATTATGCCACTGTACAATGTAACACCCACTTTTCACTATTTATGTTATGAGTCCCATGTAATAAGGGGTGACTATTGCCATATACAGGGCACAATTTCAGACTCCGTGCTACTACTGAGAATTTTTTAAAAACCAGTAATATTATGCCCGACCCGGGAATCGAACCCGAGACCCCTTGCCCGGCAGTCGCACTTGCGACTACTCGGCCACTATGAATTTAAAGTTTTCTTATAATCACATAACATACATGTACATTGTGTTATGATACTAACGCAAATAAAAATGATATAATAGTAGATGAGAATTAAGAGCACGTACTGTTGAGTCAATAACATAGAACAGAAAATACTAAAAGAAATATATAAATCTAGGAAGAAAACATGTATGTTCAGGCAAATTGACTGCACGGTTGGTGCGGTGGCTGGGCAACCGGCCGCCGTGCAACGTGTCGCGGGTTCGATTCCCGCACGGAACAACAATTTGTGTGATCCACAGAATGTTGTTTCGGGTCTGGGTGTCATTGTGTATGTGAACTTGTATGTTTGTAAACGCACCCATGACACAGGAGTAAATCCTAAAGTGGGGCAACGTTTTTTAAAATAATGAAAGGCAAATGAAATAGAAAATTAAACTTGTAATACATACTACACACCACAAACAGCTGCCTGAAGAACCCGTTTAGAAGATAAATGATGGGCGCCCTGTTTAACAGTTTCTTATTTCCTCAACTTCCGAAGATGAGGTGTTAATCGGTTTACTAATTTATTTAAAAAAAAACATGAATATTTATAAACATACAAATACATTAATCAATAAGAAATATAACATTCAACTCTCGAAAGTTAAAAAAGGGCTTGAATGGGAATATTCAAGCAATTACCGTTACTTCAATCCAATACAAAATATTCACTAAAATATCGAACGCAATTAACAAAAAGAAAACAAGGTTACTATTTCAATCGATCTCTTCGCCATATCAATTAGTAAAGAATGAAAATTTAACCTGTGAATTATGATAAATACTTATAATTACTCGGTATAAACCTTCGATATGGCTATAAAATAAACTTTATTAATAAACTACGCCCTATGAATCGTTACTACCTTAAAATTCCGTACGTCTCGTCGTCAGTCGATCCGAATTCATTACGATTGCCGCAATCGATTTCTGTATCGATTTTTAATCAATCTCCTAAATGGTCTCTATCAAATTTAATTGACGTCAATCGTGAGGGAGTTAAA